TCAGCAATTCTATTCAAACATTTTCTTTTTTTTTTCCATGTTTAAAGCCCAGATGGAGTTCTGGGCTCCCGGCAGCAGCCAACATTTTCTCACTCTGTCTCTTTCCCTCACTCTGTTACTCTTCCATCCAAGCAAATAAAATAAATCTTTAAAAAATTAAAAAATGCAATAATACAAGGTTGAACAAATCGAGCTCTACCTTTAAAGTATTCTTGGGTTCTCAGGACAAAATGACAAGGAAAAAATTATGATACAATCAGAAGTGTAAGAGATATAAAACGGTTTCAGGAGAAGACAAACGAAGAATGATCAGAAAGGAGATGACATTTAACTGTTTCTTAAACAAGTTTGCCAGTTGCATTTTAAGAAAAAAGGCATCCTAAAGCACAGAAGTAGCATGTACAAAATCAAAAAGTAAAACTAAGTGGTTTCTCCAGTGAGCACGAGTGAGATGTTGACTACATCAAAGACTTGTCTGAACTTAAAATAATATAATCAAATAGGCATTGGAGCCTCCTCAGCGCTCCGCAATTACGAAGTTGTAACTGTCTCTTAAGGAGGTGAAGATACTGAAGATGTATTTCCCCATGAAATTAAAAATAAGTTAAGTGACATCTAGAATGCCCAGAAAATGTTTTCAGTAATTCATATTGGAAATATTTTTAGATGTTGGTATAACCATTTTAGTAAAGCAACATACATTTTATTTCTTCTTCTTCATTATAAAGAGAAGCAGAAAATACAGCCTCCAAAGACAACTAACTTTGAAAAAGGGCTACATTCATGTCACTGAGATCTGCTATCCACTCCAACTTCATCTCCTTAAATCGACCATGCCCTCAAACTACATTTCTACCTTTCCAAGCTCCTAAGCAAAACTCTCACACAGCCCTTCTGTTAGATGTTGGAAAGAGAGTAACCTTAGAATCATACTTCACTTTGTTAAAAGTTAAAGAAAATAAAAATCATTCACACACATCTCAAGGCTTCCACTATTCCAAAGCAATGTTTTTTAACTGCAAGAGACTGCTGGTTAGAAGTACCATACCAGGGTATTTCAAAAAGTTTGCAGAAAAATAAAGAATTACAAGGTGAGTTTAGGGCAGGTATCTGGCCTAGCAGTTAAGATGGCTGTGCCCACATCAGAGTACCTGGGTTGGAGATTTGGCTCCAGCTCCTGACTCCAGCTTCCTGCTAATTCAGACCCTGACAGGCTGTGGCGATGGCACAAAGAACTGGGTCTCTGCCATTCATGTGGCAGACCTGGATTATTTTACTAGCTCCAGATTTGGGCTCCACTCCAGCTCCAGGCATTATGGGAATTTAGGGCATGAACCAGCAATGGGAGCTCGCTTTCTCTTTTTCTCACTGTATTTCCCTTTTTTCTCTCTCTCAAGTAAATAAATAATTCAAAAATCAACAAAATTGAAAAAAAAACTTTAAAACTTGTTTTGAAATATTGAAAGATAAAAGTCACAAATACTTGTAATGTATTTACACTGAAAACAACAAAACATTGCTTTCAAAGGTTAAATATATAAATAAATGGAGAAATATATACCATGTCCTTACACTGGAAGAAAATTTCTAAGCTGTCATTTTCCCCAAATGACATATGACGTAAATTTGTGGAGACCTGGATTACTTGGGGTGCAAACCAGCATACAGGAGCTCACACTATGTCTCGCTCTTTATCTATTTTTTTTTTTACAGGTCAGTTTGCTTTCATAGCAAAAAAGTCTGACATCCATGCATAGATATTTCATAATATGCATTTTCCATGAACTTCTGAAGTCCTTTATATATTTATTTACTTTTCAGCTTGTAAAAAGTAAACCTTAATTGTAAGAGAAAAAAATTATATGACAAGTCAGATAGAAACGAAATGTTAAATGAGCCTTAACCATGTAAAGGAATGACAGAGGTCTAACAAGACGGCAAAAGTGAAGAAGAGAGAACAACGGGTGTGAGGTGAGGAGAAAAATAACTGAAAAAGAAACCTGTCAAAAAATTCCATCTTTCTAATAGAAGAGCCCTGTAATTGATCAGTACCGTGATTTTTCTTAAACATTATGTAGTGACCTTGATAAATCTGATTCAGCTCTCTGGGTCTCAGTTACTTCATGTTATAAATGAAGGGGAACTGACAAGGTTAGTTTTTCCCAAAGTGCTTCAGAGAACATTGGTTACCTAACATTCACCTTTTCCCAAATTATTTCACAGAAAATTAGTCCCTTGAAAAGAAAAAAAAGGTTCCTTGCTCAAGTAAGTTTGGAAATTGCTGAATAGAACATTTCCCTCTCGTGCAGAATCACAGTGTTCATTAACACAATAAGAGAAGCCCTAAAATGTCCTAAAAATTTTAAATGACAGTAACATTAATAAAAAAGGAGAAATGTCCTATATATGTTTTGCTGACTGCTTCCCAAACTCATTTGGTTAATAAAACACTTCTTTGCTCAAAAATAATAAACCATTTGATGTAGAGACTACTCTTCATGAAATAGACCAAATAATTTCTAAAATTTTATCACTTAGTTCTATGAGTTTAAGTTTGTATTTATTATACATGTCCAGACATGTAAGTGAATGGTAAAGACACATTAAAAACAATGAAACTGGGGCCAGCACTGTGGCGTAGCAGGCTAAGTAAGCCTCCACCTGCAGCACCGGCATCCCATATGGACGCTGGTTCCAGTCCCGGCTGCTCCACTTCCAATCCAGCTCTCTCCTATGGCCTGAGAAAGCAGTGGAAGATGGCCCGAGTCCTTGGGTCCCGGAACCCATGTGGGAGACCCGGAAGAGGCTCCTGAAGCTCCTGGCTGCTGGCTTCGGAGCGACTCAGCTCTGGCCGTTGTGGCTATTTGGGGAATGAATCAATGGATGCAAGACAGATTCTCTCTCTCTCTCTCTGTCCTCTCCTCCCTCCATCTGTCTGTAACTATCTCTCAAATAAAATAAATACATATTAAAAAAAGAAGAAACTGAGGCTGGAATTTGGGAAGGTTTGTAGGAACACAATGCTCTAGACGAAAGAACGTCATCTTCTAAACAAAGTAAAGAGAAAAATCTGTTTTTTCCTATCAACTAGAAATAATAAATCATCCTAACGATCTTATGTGCCATCCGGGGCGGGGGGAGAGGGAGAAGAAAATGGCCTTAATGTGGGCAGGAAGAAGTAATCCTTCTTTAGTACTGAAGCATGGTGCTTGTATCACACAAGTTACCCCCTGGGAATTAATTCCAAACTGATGGCAGTACGACTTTAGTACTGGGGAAACTGACATCAGAACCAATGCTCATACTGGTGACTTTGACAGCTGCCAAAAAACACAGATTTAGACAGAAATCTGCAGCTGACTTAGCCCAAGGTTTATTTGATATATGAATCTATGCTTACAACATTACACCCCAGGGACTGTCCAGCTGACAGACCACCTCCAAAAATTTTACATGGACACTTAAATACTTGTTAAGATTAAAACAACTGGTAGCTTTTGACAGCTGGTTATACACCTTTCTCAAACAGATGGTTTGAAGACCTCACAACAAACCTTTCCTGAACCATATTTTGATGACAAGATAATTCAGTGCAAGGAATGATGAAATGATTCCCAGAACTGTGTTACCACTAGGTAAACAGAGACAGCTCAGGCTCTGGCTTCCTAAGCTAAAAATAACACCAGCTTTAAGACCCTAACTGCTCTAATATCCTACATTTCCCATCATGGCATGGTTTGTCCACTCGCAAATTGGCTTCCTCTGGCTAAGAACTCTAGTATATCTAAATCCTCTAGTGGGTGCTCAGAATTAAATTCAGCATTCCAAAAAAGGTCTCTTCAGTAAAGACAAGTGAAATTATTACATTCCTTTTTCTGAATACTATTCTTATATTAGTAAGGAACATAATCAAATTAGATGTTCATGGGCAACACTGCATTCAAGTAACCATATTTAGCAATTAGGCCCTGTGGATGCCACTGACTCCACTTAACAAACAATGGACTAAAACAGTTGCTCTCTCTTATCACATATTTCTCCAAACTGATTTTTGGAACTTAGTATAGGATATAAGATTTTTCTTAATGATTTTCCATCTTTATGTATTTAGGCCACCACCCTACCCTCTTGAATGCTAATTAACACTCCAAAATATTAGCTATTCTTTCCAGCTCATGAAATAGTAGGTTCTAAATCATATAATATAATTGGGATTCTCATTTAAAATGCTGATAAAATTTTTATCAGAAAGGCCAATGACCAGGAAAAGGAAGCAATGGAAATAAAGCGTCTACCTTAAAAAACTAGAAAAGAGCAAACTAAACTCCAAGCAGAATAAAGGAATAATAAAGATAAGCAGAAATCAATTAAATATAAATGGGGGGGAGGAGAGAAAAATCAGTGGAACTAATGGCTGGATCTTTGATGAAAACAGTGAGATCCATAAAACTTCACCAAATGAATGATGATTACAATGGAGTGAGAAGGAAGAGAAGGGGGAGAAGAAGGGTGGGGCAGTGACAATATAAATTGTCAACATGATGAATGGGAGAGGTGACAAAGCTACACATTTTATTCCTATTAAAAGATAACAAGGGGCTAGCGCCGCGGCTCACTAGGCTAATCCTCTGCCTTGCGGCACTGGCACACCGGGTTCTAGTCCCGGTCGGGGCGCCGGATTCTGTCCTGGTTGCCCCTCTTCCAGGCCAGCTCTCTGCTGTGGCCAGGGAGTGCAGTGGAGGATGGCCCAAGCGCTTGGGCCCTGCACCCCATGGGAGACCAGGAGAAGTACCTGGCTCCTGCCATCGGATCAGCGCCGTGCGCCGGCCGCGGCGGCCATTGGAGGGTGAACCAACGGCAAAGGAAGACCTTTCTCTCTGTCTCTCTCTCTCTCACTGTCCACTCTGCCTGTCAAAAAAAATTTAAAAAAATATAATAAGGGAAAGATCTCTGTGAGTGAGATCCGGCTGGAAAGAAGGAGCCATCAAAGAAGGAGGTACCTTTCTCTGAAGGGAGGAGAGAACTTCGCCTTTGCTTATGGCCTTGTCTAAATACTGATGGAGTTTGTGGATTCAAGAGGCTTTCATAACCTTGGCAGCTCATGACAGGAGCCTCAGGTGATCACTGATGTCATAAATAAGAGTGTCAACTGGGGGCCACTGCTGTGGCATAGCGGGTAAAGCCACCGCCTGCAGTGCCGGCATCCCATATGGGCGTTGGTTCGAGTCCTGGCGCTCCACTTCCAATCTAGCTCTCTGCTACAGCCCGGGATAGCAGTAGAAGATGGCCCAAGTCCTTGAGTCCCTGCACCCACGTGGGAGACCCAGAAGAAGTTGCCTGCTCCTGGCTTCAGATAGGCACAGCTCTGGCCATTGCAGCCAATTGGGGAGTGAAACAACAGATAGAAGACCTCCCTCTGCCTCCCTCCCTTCCTCCCTCCCTCTATTCCTCTCTCTCTTTCTATCTCTCTCTTTCTCTCTCTCTGTGTGTGCGTGTGCCTCTCCTCTCTGTGCAACTCTGACTTTCAAATAAATAAATAAATAAATCTTTAAAAAAATAAAACAAAGATTGTCAATTGTTAAATCAATTACAGGAGTCACTGTGCACTTGCTCCCCATGTAGGACCTCTGTCCTAATGTGTTGTACTATGAGAATTAATGGTAAAACAGTACTTTATACTTTTTATGTCTGTGTGGGTGCAACCTGTTAAAATCTTTACTTAGTATAGAGTTGATGTTCTGTATATAAAGAAAATTAAAATGAATCTTAATGAAGAATGTGATGGGAGATGGAGCAGGAGGTGGGGTGGTTTTGGGGTGGGAGGGCGGGTATGAGGGGAAAAACCGCTATAATCCAAAAGTTGTACTTACAAAATTTGTATTTCTTAAATTAAAGCTTTTTATAAAAAAGATAATAAGGGTACATTATTAACATCTTTATATCAATAAATGTGTCAATTTAAGTGAAATGGACAAATTCCTTGAAAGTTACCAACTATCAATATTCATTCAAGAAACATTAGATAACCCAAATATTCTTCTTAAAGTCTTCCCACAAAGAAAACTTTATGTCCAGAAGACTTAGGAGTGAATTCTGCCAAATATTTAAGGAAGAATAACATCAACTCAATATAAACTTTCCAGTAAAACTTAGGAGGAAAGTTTCCCCAACTTATTCAACAAGGCCAACATTTACCTGATGGCAAAACAAGACAAACATAAAAGAAAACACTCCTTATGTATCAGAATAGAGATGTAAAAATACTAGTAAATTTTTAGTAAATCTGATTCTGAAATATATAAAAAGGATAGGTAATAATGAACTGGGGTTAACCCAGAGTTTAGCATTTGAAAATCATCACCATAATTCACCATACTAACAAACTGAAAAATAAACGCTTTATGATCATCTGGACTGAACAAAGTCCAACATCTCCTTACTCCTGATAAAAATTCTCAGGACACAAGGACGATAAGAAATGAGCACTTTGCAGCTTTAGATTCTGCCCAGTATAACCAGGCAAGAAAAACAAATAAAAGGCATCCAAATTGGAAAAGTAGAGATGAAACTATCTTTTTAATGGATTAGCAAGTAACACAATCAATGGTCAACATGGAAAATATCATAGAATCTACCTGAAAAGCTACTAGAATGAGCAAGTTTAGCAAAGTTTAAGATATAAGATCAATAAATAGAGGGCAGCACTGTGTTACAGTGGGTGAAGCCCCCTTCCCGCACCCGCCCTCCGCCCCCCGCAATGCCAGCATTCCAAATGAACACTGATTTAAGTCCTGGCTGTTCCACCTCTGATCTAGTTTCCTGTTAATGTGCCTGGGAAAGCAGCAGAAGATGGCCCAAATACTTGAGCCCCTGCCACCCATGTGGAGTTCCTGACTCCTTGCTTCAGCCTGGCCCAGCCTCAGCTACTGCAGCCATTTGGGGACTGAACTAGCAAATAAAGATCTCTGTTTTCCTCTGTCCCCTCATCTCTCTCTTTTACTCTGCCTTTCAAATAAATATTTTTAAATTAATATATAAAAGTGGATTGTACTTCCATATGCTAGCAATAAAGAACTCCAAACTGAAATGAAAGTCAACATCATTTAAAATAGCATCAAAAGTATTAAATTTGTACTGATAAATCTGACTACAGATGTGGAAAACCTATATATCATAAACTATAAAGCATTATTGAAGGGCCAGTGCTGTGCCATAGTGGGTTAAGATACCATCTGCAGTGTTGGCATTCCAAATGAGTCCCAGCTGCTCCACTTCCAATCTAGCTCCCTGCTAATGCACCTGGGAAACCAGTAGAGGATGGCCCTAAAAGAGGATGGCTCCTGGCTTCCAATCAACCCATTCCAGCCATTGCAGCAGAGAGAAGATCTCTCTCTCTCTCTCTCTCTCTCTCTCTCTCTGTGTGTGTGTGTGTGTGTGTGTGTCTCCTCCTCTCTCTATAACCCTGCCTTTCAAAAAATAATTAAATCTATTTTAAAACAAAAATAAACTCTTAAAACTCAAGAAAAGAAAGACAATGCAATTTCTTAATCAGGCAAAATATTTTAACAGGCATTTCCCCAAAGAGGAGATTTAAATGGCAAATAAAAAGAAAATGCTCAGTATCATTAGTCATTTTGAAAATGCAAATAAAGCCATAATGAGTTATTACTACGTATGTCGTAACTTATCAAACTGTACACTTCAAATACATGCAGTTTACATTTGGCACAGCAGTTGAGATGCAAGTGGGGATGCCCATGTGCCATATCACAATGCCTGGGTTTGAGTGCCAGCTCTATTCTAGATGCCAGCTTCCTGCTAACGGGCACCCTGGGTGACAGCAGAAGATGGCTCAAGTACTTGGGTTCCTGACATGGGAGACTTGGATTGAGATTCAGGCCCATTCCTTTGGCTTCGCCCAGTCCTGGGGCTTTAGAGGCCTTCAGGGAGTAAATCAGCAGTTGGAAGGTATCTCTATCTATCTCCATCTCTGTCTCTCAAATAAAATGAAAATAAATAAAAATTTCAATGTAAAAACATGCAGTTTATTTATCTCAGTAAAGCTGTAAAACAAAATCTGTTATCCAGGAAAAAGAGAAAAATTGCTTTTCTCGACATTTTAAATGCTTGTGAAGAATACAATATTTGAAAATACCTCATAAAGGTGTAAACATTATCCTTGACAGCTGCAAGGTAAACATTTCATTTGGGAGGAAACTTTTGTTTAAAAACAAATATTTCATTTTACAACATACCAAATTAAAGATTGCCTTTATAAAATACTCTGTGATTTTTAATTGCATATTTCAAAGAATACATGATTTAACATATTTATGGAAAGTCGACAACTATTTTTCTATTTTCCTGGTTTTTTGAAATAGTCCTTTTTTTTTTTTTTTGACAGGCAGAGTGGACAGTGAGAGAGAGAGACAGAGAGAAAGGTCTTCCTTTGCCGTTGGTTCACCCTCCAATGGCTGCTTGCGGCCAGTGCGCTGGGAGCCAGGTGCTTCTCCTGATCTCCCATGCGGGTGCAGAGCCCAAGGACTTGGGCTATCCTCCACTGCACTCCCGGGCCACAGCAGAGAGCTGGCCTGGAAGAGGAGCAACCGGGACAGAATCCGGTGCCCCAACTGGGACTAGAACCCGGAGTGCCAGTGCGGCAGGCAGAGGATTAGCCTATTGAGTCTCAGTGCTGGCCAAGAAAATGAAATTTTAATCAATACAAGTAGATTCCATCAGCCCTTAAGGCATTCGGTCTGGCTGAATATCCCATGAGAGTATTTTAGGCATGGAAAGCCAAGACACTCTGGCAAAAAAAAAAAAAAAAAAAAACAAACAAACAAACAAACAAAACAAAACAAAACAAAACAAAACAAAAAAAACACCTAAATGAAAGATCTCTGTGAGTGAGATCCCAGTGGAAAGAACAGGGCTTCAAAGAAGGAGGTACCTTTCTCTGAAGGGAGGAGAGAACTTCCACTTTGACTATGACCCTCTCAGAATAAGATCGATGTCGAAGTCCGCAAACTCAAAAGGCTTCCATAGCCTTGGCAACTCATGACTAGAGCCTAGGGAGCTTATTGACGCCATAAACAAGAGTGTCAAATTGTTAAGTCAACAACAGGAGTCACTGTGCACTTACTCCTCATGTGGGATCTGTCCTTAATGTGTTGTCCAACGTGAAGTAATGCTATAACTAGCACGGAAACAGTATCAACACTATGGAA